GAGGAGGGAGAGGGAGAGATAGATAGAAACAACCATGAGAAAGAATCATCGATTGGCTGCCTCCTGCAGGCCCCCTACTGGGGATCGAAGCCCACAACCTGGGCATGTGCCCTTGACTAGAATCGAACCTGGGACCCTCAGTCCGTAGGCCGATGCTCTATCCACTGAGCCACACCAGCCTGGGCGGCAGAGAGACTTTTAGAGAAAGAGCCTCCGGCCGCTGGAGGAAGTGAATCGCCTCCCCAACCTCCTCGCGTGGCGTCCTGGGTTCGTGTGCGGCGTCTACGCCCAGCACCAGCACCCACCAATGCCCAGACCCCTCCCCTCCACACCCGAGCCCAACATGCCCGGGCTGAGTGGTTGTTCACGGGACACCTTGACTTCCCCGCCCAGCGTCCTGGCCAGGCCCAGGCATGTGAAGGCAGGAGCTCCCAGACTCCATGCCTTCAGTCCTCAAAGACATGGAACGTAGCTGAGCTTCCAAAACATGGGAGGGCGGAATGCGGGCTGCTCGCCACTGATGATGAAGAAACAGCCCCAGCCTACCCACTCGGGGCCGGCGTGGCACAGAGCAGCCCCGTGGCGACCAAACCCACCCCCGATAGGGCCTGGATTCCGCCCTTAGTGATGCCTCCCTTTGAGCGCTCACGCGATGATGTGGGAAGAGAACTGGCATAGAAGGCAGCCCCGGCTCATGCCCTAGCGCTGCCATTCATGCCACCCTCCCAGGGCCTCGTCCGTCAAACGGGGAGGCTGGGCTCCACTCGGCAGGGCCCTGCAGCCCTCCTGGGGGATGGCTCTGCAGTTAAGAAGTCCAGCGGGATCTGCGGGAAAGGAGTCACGTGTGTGGGCAGTGGGCAGTTTCGATGGGGTCTGGGTGGGCCCTGCAGCGTATGCCAGGTCCCCTGAGGGCGGCTTCAAGAGAGTCAAAGTCTGGCCCCAGGGGGCGGGGGGCAAACCTCAGACAGCAGGGGCCCAGACTGAGGCCGAAGAGTCCCTGCCCAGCCCCGCTGGCCTGCTGGGGCCACCTGTGGGTGGGCCACCTATGGGTGCTCTTGGTTCAGGCCGGCACTTTAGGAGCAGAGGCTGTGGGGTAAGGTGGGGAGGCTGCAGCAGGCAGCAGGCAGCAGGCACCCCAGCATTCCCTCCCAGAGAGAGCCAAAGCTTTGCCAGGGACACCCACCCTGAGGAGGGAGGAGCGGTGGGCGCTTGGAACAGCTCCCTCTCACCAGGAGGGAAGGGTGCCAGCCCACCCGGGGTTGTACCGTGACCCTTGGACCGCACGGGCCTGACCTGGGCGGGTCCACTTAACACGTGGATTGTTCTCAATCAATATATCGGAAGATTTTTTTTAAAAAAATTTTTTTGGAGATGTGCAACAATTTGAAAAGATTCTCAGACGAATCTTTTATTTTGGAAGATGTTTTGGAGATTCGTGACGATTTGAAAACACTCGCCGGTGAAACTCTTTATATTCTTAATCACATGTTCTTCCCCTTAGTTTACATTAGTGTGACGATACAGTATGTAATGCATAGAACACAGAACATGTGTTAATTAACGTTAATAACGGTTCTCAACCTGTGGGTCGCGAACAATGAAAATACATCGTGCCTATCAGATATTTACATGACGATTCATAACATGTAGCCACATGACAGTGATGAAGTAGCAACGAAAATAATTTTATGGCTGGGGGTCCCCACAACATGAGGAGCTGTATTAAAGGGTCGCGGCATGAGGAAGGTTGAGAACCACTGGTTTATGTGATCAGCAAGGCTTCCGGTCAACAGTAGGTCGTTAGTAGTTAAGGTTTGGGGGAGTCCAAAGTTATATGTGGATCTTCGACTGCATGGGGTGTCAGTGCCCCAACCCCCCCACACTGTCCAAGGGTGAACGGTGTAACTCAACACAGTTGTGCAAACCAAGTTCAAAGGGAAGCAGCCTTTTCTCCCACCCAGGTCTATTGACTTTCCCTCAGGGGTCAGAGTTCATCCTTTCTCTCCCTGATAGTGGTATTTTCACTCTCCAGAGCAGGGGCCATCGAAGGCCCGAGAAACCCTTTGGTCTGGCCCTGCCAGGGCATCCGGGGTGAGCTCATTAAATGTTTCACCACATGCAGCAGGCTCATGTTCAAGTTGATCCTTTTGTGTGGCCCCGGCATGATGTCGCAAACACCCAAATGGCCCTGGGCAGAGAGAAGGTTCCCTGCCAAGGCCGGCCTCCAGCCCCCCTCCGGACGGACGGACGGACGGCTGGGGCCTGGGGTGCAGCCTTCGTGCCCACTGGTCCCGACTCTCCGTCTTTGGTTTTTGTTGCCTGGCGGGTGGGCACTGTTCTCCTCCGTGCCCGGTCCAGGCGCAGCAAAGCCTCCGGTTAGGCTGCCCCAGGCCTGCGGGGACGTGCTTGCACGAGGGGGGGGAAATGTTCTTCTCTTTGGGGAGTTCAGAAACTTTCCAGAAGCTTCTCTGGCGAAACTCCAGAAGGTCCCAGTGCCTCCAGTTCTCATCCAAAGAGGAACACACCAGAGAGTCCCAACCCCAGGGGCCTGGGAGAGGACCCCAGGCCTTGTCCCCGGTCAGGAACAGAAGTGCGCGCTGCCTTTAGCTCTTGGGAAGATGAACACGCAGACTGACAGCATTCTGATGTCTTCCTGGCGCCTACTTGGCGGGGTTGACTCAAGCGAACGACGTAGCGTCTCTGAGCTTTGTTTTTCAATCTCTTTAAACCAGAAAAAAATACCCCTTGCTTCTCAGGGTCACTGTAGTCCAGGAGATGATGTGTTTACTGTCCCCAACCCCGTGTCACAGCCCAGGGCTTCCTCCACACGGAGCTGTGGGGCCCAGACACACACGCATGTCCCCGCCACAGGCCCACATGGCTGGCTGTGGCCCAGCTGGGAGCCAGGGAGAGCGGCGGGAGCCAGGGCCCAGGAGCAGGAGGGCTGCGTGTCCCCGTGCGGAGTCTGAGAGCCACGCAGGCTCCTCCGGAGACCAGGGCGTGGACTCTCCACCCTCCCCCAGGGCCGCCACCTCGGGTGGTCCCAGCGGCTCAGCCTGGGACTTGCCTCTCCCTGTGGCCTGTGTGACCTTTGCCACCTTGAGTGGCGACTCTCTGGTGTGTTCCTCTTCGGATGAGAACTGGAGGCACTTGGACCTTCGGGAAACGGAGAGAAATAGTTTGGCTCCAGCGCCAAGGCCCTGTTGACAAGGGCAGCTCAGGAAGCCTGACTCTCTTGCCAGCTCTGGGGACGTGGAGCTAGGTTCCCGCTTTCTGGTGGTGCTGCCTGTGGCC